GGGTCTCATCACCTCTTTGGTTTCTCTCTCTGTGTGGGGACTGACGGACGGGACCCTTGAGACCCTGGCCTTGCACTGACTTCCCCTGAGCATGTGCATGGCAGGGTCTCTGGGCCGGGCTGTGTAAATGCCACACTGGCCGTCTACACTCTGCACGCATCGGGCATTAACTTCTTAACCCAGAGAAGGGAGGTAGTAGAACAAACCGATAATACAAAACAGTGTGACACCAGATACACTTGGCCCTGGAATTGATTTTTCCACTCAGATTTAAGGTTGATTGTGTCTGACAGCCTGTCACCTGTGCCCGTAAGTCCTTGAGCAGATGGTCACACACACTGACTCAGGCCAGATCCCATGTGCGTGAGCCTCTGACAGAGCGTCTGACAGAAATGACCCACCCTGATGGCTCGTAGGTAGAAATATTAGAGCTTGATGCCTAGCCAGGTCTGCAGGGGAACTCAAAGCCAGAGACCAGGAAAGACTGGTCTGCGGCCACCGGGCACATCAGTGGCAGAGGCAAGACTGGGACCCCCTGTGATTCTCGGGCACCCCCACTTCCGATAAGCGGTAGGCACCAGCGCCTCCAGAATCTTCTTAGAGGCAAACATCTCCATGGAGTAGCCAGAAAGAACCAGCATCAGCCATTCTAGGGCCAATTCATCTCTGAGCCACTTAACCAGCCCAGGCCACACGCCAGTGTCTGTCTGGGGAGAGAAGACCAGAGACTCTGCATCCAATGAAAAGCCACAGGAGTGTGTGAGGAAGATAGAAATTCTCCCTGGAAGCCAGCCAGGGCACCCCCGTGCTAAGGATCATAACAACACCCATAACGGTGGGGAGAATAAAGCTCCTCCAAGGCCTCAGGGACCTGGCAAGGTCATAGGAAGAGAAGGGAAACCAAGATGGACACTCTGGCTTTGCAAAGCTCCTGCCGACAAGCCAATGGCCCGGCTCCTTCCTAGAGAGACATGGCCTCGTGGACAGCCACCGGGGTGTCTGGCCAGCCCTGCACACTTGGCACGTATGACAAGCTCACGGTGATGGTTCACGCTGAAGGTCAGCGAGGCGAGGCTGTGGGACCCGGGTGTTGGGTCCACACCAGCCTGCATGTTGCGGTGAAGGTATTTTAAACATGCGGTAAACAGAAAATCGGCAGCCTTCAGTAAAGAGTGACATTTAAGCGAGTGGACATTGAGTCGAGCAGATTACCCTTTATAACATGGACGGGCCTCATCTAACCCGTTGAAGGCTTCAGAGCACAGAGGGAGTTTTCCCGAAGACGGAATTGTTCTCAGAACGACAACATAGAAACTCAGCCTGAAGTTCCCGCCTTCAGACTCAAGAACGCAACATCAGCCCGGCTGGCGTGGCTCAGTGGTTGAGCATCGACCTATGTGATCCAGGAGGTCACGGTTCAATTCCCAGTCAGGGCACAAGCCTGGGCTGTGGGCTTGATCCCCAGAAGGGGGTGTACAGGAGGCAGCCGATCAATGATTCTCTCTCATCATTGATGTTTCTATCTCTCCCTCTCCCTTCCTCTCTCTGAAGTCAATAAAAAGTATATATTTTTTAAAAGAATGCAACATCAGCCCTTGTTGGAGACAATTCCTTAAAATCAATGGCGCTCGTCTCCACCTCCTATTGGTTCTATTTCTCCGCAGGTCTCTGACTCACTCTCTGCATCTCATCTCCGCTGCTCTTCTACTGCAGGAACCCCAACCTCATGTCCAGCCAGGTCAGAGCTCTCAGAGCCGACCTTAACTCCGCTCTCTTCTTCCTCCCTCCACCATGGTCAGCCAGGAAGCCTGAGTGTTTTCTCACTGTTGTACTTACTCCAGGAAAAATTTAAATTTTTACCATTCCTTCCAAAAATAAAAAGAAAAGGAAAGAAAACCAACCACCATGTGATACCAAAAACATTTGGCTGTGAATTCATTTTTCCACTTATATTTAAGGTTGATTAGGTCTGGTAAGTAAAAATCATTTCTAAAATTAATTTAAAACTAATTTGTCCGTATTCAGATAGGCGTGTGCCCAGCTGCCCTTTGTGGCTCTGTGCCCCACACCCGGGGGTGGGGGGGGGGGGGGGGGGCGGCTCTCCGCTCAGTTTCGGAGAGCAGCGGTCCTTTCCTGGTGTCACCCCTGAAAAGCAGGAAAACGGAGAGGAACTCGCGCATCTAAGTTCCCACAGCCACAGATCCTTCCGTTTATTGTCACACGGAGGGTGTAAGCAGCATTCTCTCCCAGGGACAGAACTGAGAGTTTGCTTCAAAAACACCTCAGCCCATGAAAGTTTCCTAATGTTCACATACGGACTTGTGGATCGTGTGCAACCAAAACAGAAATAAAAATAAGCGGCAATGACAATCTCTAAGAGGCTCGGGAGCTGGTGTCTGAGGGGTTACAGTTCACTTAATCCTCGTCTCCAGCCCAGCCTTCCGCTGGACACCCCTTAGTGAGATCACCTTTAACCCAATGGATCCATTTCTCCTATCTCCTCCCTCCAGGCATCACACCAGGGACCTGGACAGAGAGAGGAGGCCTGACTGATCGTTACCACCTCCGGGAAAAGAGCTAAAATGCCAGCGCTGATGGGGCAAATGCTGAAAATGAGTTCTTTTAAAAAATCGTGAGAAAACAAGTACTGCCAAGTGGGAGGGAAATACCTTCTCATTGTTCCCAGGAGGCACGGCAGCCACGAAAGGAAACCACACGTGTGAAGCGCTCAGTCCATCACAGAGCCGCCGGGTGCTGGCGCGGGAGCCCGCGGGCACCACCTGGCCTCCCCCTCGCGGCCTGCAGACCCACGCAAAGGGGTGCCGATGACTGAGCGGTGCACGCCCAGCTCTCGCGTGGAAGGGACACACCCAGATTCGAGAGGCTGTTGATCTCTTTCACCTTTTCTCACTCTCTCTGGATATCCTGCCTGGAAGTTGGCGGTCAGGTGAGTCTCTGAATCGCGAGACTGACCGCAGACCACTCCCGCAGACCATGTTTCCACCACACCCCACGCAGCACGTGGCGCACGCGTGTTGTGTAATACGTGTGCAACTGATTGTGCAAAGGCGAGAACAAGTGAGCGCTCAAGCTCCACGCTGCCGCCCCAGCAGCTGAGAACGCTGGGGGCACCTGCAGAAGCAAACATCGCCTTGCTCTTCTGACTGCCCCACGACATGGAGTGATCTACACACACTGCCTCAACCGGCACAATAGCCCTGTGAGGTGGGAACCACTCCTGTCCCGTTATTCAGATGAGAAAACTGAGATAAAAAGAAGAGAAGTAACGCCTGACCATCCGCGTGCAGAGGCAGCTGGCTGGACTGGCCTCGGCCACGCCTCACCCACCGAGCCCCGTGGCCACATGGACACACACACCAGACGAGGTGGGCATCTAAGCACAGACCCAGCCCTACGGCCCAAACAACCCCTTTCCCCTCAGACGCCACCATCGTCTTGGGGATCAGGGGCAGCCCAGGCTGCTGGACGGCGGCGCGTGGCCCTGGCAACAGCTGGGCTTCGGGAAACGCGCTCAATCCCTGGATTCCCAGCTGAGAAGGAGGCTCTTCCGAACATGACCCCGCACGTCAGAGCAGCCGGGATAAGGGAACACGCCTGCAAGAAGCAGCCGGTCCCCACACACCCAAATGCTGTGCAAAATAGGACGCAGACCTCGCTTTGCAATTTAACACGGCCGTGACCATCTTGCAGCAAACACCTGCTCTGAGTTCGGGCCAGAGCTTCGTCCAACATGTCTGTTACGCAGCCACGTGAATGGCCCTCCTCTAAACAGGGCCAGGTCATGCATGCTGAAGTACAAGCAGAGGGCGCCCAGCACCACCAGCGCCATGTACAGCCACCTCAGCTTCGCCGAGGCCATCTGAAAGGCACAAAGTCAAACTGTCAGGCTCAGCCGGCGTGGATCAGTGGTAGAGCATCAACCTATGAACCTGGCAAAGTCAAGTCCAAAAAGTCAACAGGAGGAACCATTCATCCTGCGACCAGCAGCAAGACGGCCTTGCACGTCACGTGACGGTGGCTGAATGGGCAGAGACCGCTGCAGAGAAGTGCCTCGCTTTCACGCCACCCTGAAGAGCAGGCCGCACAGTCCTCCTGGGAGAAGGACGTTGCAGGTTGAACTCCACACCACAAAACAGCTGCTTAAACAGGGCCAGGTCATGCATGCTGAAGTACAAGCAGAGGGCGCCCAGCACCACCAGCGCCATGTACAGCCACCTCAGCTTCGCCGAGGCCATCTGAAAGGCACAAAGTCAAACCATCAGGCTCAGCCGGCGTGGATCAGTGGTAGAGCATCAACCTATGAACCTGGCAAAGTCAAGTCCAAAAAGTCAACAGGAGGAACCATTCATCCTGCGACCAGCAGCAAGACGGCCTTGCACGTCACGTGACGGTGGCTGAATGGGCAGAGACCGCTGCAGAGAAGTGCCTCGCTTTCACGCCACCCTGAAGAGCAGGCCGCACAGTCCTCCTGGGAGAAGGACGCTGCAGGTTGAACTCCACACCACAAAACAGCTGCTCCTTGGCCACACGAGAAATTCGAAGAAGATGAGCTTGGGTCAGGCTTGGGGAACAGACACGGGGAGACCGCCCCCCTGGACCAGGGCTCATCCAGCGACCAGTGTCCCGGGGGGTCCTTGAAAGCAACTTAACCCAAATGCACCTGGATTCCCAGAAAAGCTCCAGAACCCTTCCCTGGCCGAGCCTTGCGCCCACTGGCCTCCCGTTTGAACCTAGAGACCTAACGTGCAGATGGAGTGCGTCTGGAGCAGACAGGACGCCACCGGTGGCTCAGGGCACGTGCCATGCGCCTGGGGAGGTCAGCCGTGTGGCCAGGTCTGCACACGGGCCAGGCCCTGCGGTGATGTCTGAGTAAAACGTGTGCACACTGATGTGTCCGGAACGGCCATTTCTCAGGGCCTGAGCTGCAGCCACTGGCCCAGCGTCTGGGATGAGCTGGGTGCCAGGCTGCTAATAGGGACTCACCCAGAAGACAGCTGGGGGGCAGCGTTAGCACTACAGAGCACAAGGGTCAGGAGTTGAGGAGATACTCCGACATGGACAGAGGGTGCCATCAGCGAGGCTGCGCTCCGAGCCTCCTCACCGCGTCCTCTCCCAAGGGAGGGCTGGGTTGCACAGGAGCGGGGCAGGAGGGACTGGATTCTGATGGCCTTCAGGTTTCCTCCCTGCTCCGGCGTGTGTTGGCTGTGAGCCTGAGGGCAAGTTCCCAGACCTCCCTAAGCCACCGTTTCCGCCTGTGTCAATGGGAATGGCAGCAGCCCCACCTCACCTGGATGCTGGCCCCCAACCTGAGAAGACACAGGTGCGCATGGAACACCTGGTGCAAGGGTGTAGGGACGCAGGAGGTGGGATCTGCTATGGCTCGGGCACTAACTCGAAATGAATCGGCGGTTTCATTCGAGCTTGCGTTCTAGTTCAGATTTGGAAAACTGGTATCACGGTTCCCCTCCCTCCTCCCCTCCCCTCTCCTTCCTCGCCCTCCATGCCTCGCCCCCTCCGGAGACCCTGACCGTCCTCAGCGAGGCCGTCCAGAGATGGTTCACAAACATCCCCGCCGGTTGTCTGCTGCGGGTCCAGATGCGCCGCTCACTTGGCTGGACACTCCTCTCCCGCGGAGTCCTCCAGGGCCTTCCAGTAGATCAGCATCTTCTGGGGCTGCACGTGGTGGCAGGCCACGATCCTCCGGAAGCGGCAGATGGAGAAGGTCAGGCCGCCCGGGAAGAAGGTCTGCTCGGAGTGCAGCTCCTCCAGGCTGATGCGCAGCTTGGCCAGGCAGAGCCCCACGAACACGTCCTCCAGCTTGAGGAAGGGGACGCTCTCCGAGACGTTGTACACCTGGCTGGCCACGTCGCCCGAGAACACGTAGGCGGTGCCCGAGCAGAAGGGCGGGTACTTGTTCCACGGGTACTCGTACCTGCTGACGAACCACTTGCTGCGCTTCTCTCGGATGGGGAGATCGTGCATCTTCAGGAAGCCGGTGACGAACCGGGCCGTGCGGTTCTTCCGCACCAGCAGCTCCACCAGGTAGGAGACGTTCACGAACATGTCGGAGTCCGTCTTCATCACGAAGGCCGCCTGCGGGCAGAAGTGGTGGACCCACTCGATGCCCATCATGGTCTTCAGGGTCAAGTTCAGGTACACGTCCAGGAAGTCCTTCTGGATGATGTCGCGGTGCCGCCGGCCCTCCTGGGCCACCGCGAGGGCCGCGGCCTCGCTGGGGGTGGTGCCCAGGAGGAAGACCGTCTCGGTCCGTTTCCCACGCACGACCCTCTCCCTGCCCCACGTCTTCCGGATGGCCGTGCGCGCAGACAGCTGCTCGTGGGAGGACGTCACCAGCAGGACCAGGAAGGGGGGGTCCCGCCGGCAGTCCACGGCGGGGAGCTGGAGGAACCTCCCGCTCTCCTTCTTGAAAATGAATGGCCCTCCTCTAAACAGGGCCAGGTCATGCATGCTGAAGTACAAGCAGAGGGCGCCCAGCACCACCAGCGCCATGTACAGCCACCTCAGCTTCGCCGAGGCCATCTGAAAGGCACAAAGTCAAACGGTCAGGCCGACGTGGCTCAGTGGTAGAGCATCGACCTATGAACCTGGAGGTCACCTTTCGATTCCCGATCAAGGGCACATGCCCGGGTTGTGGGCTCAATCCCCAGTAGGGGGCTTGCAGGAGGCAGCTGGACGATGATTCTCTCTCATCATTGATGTTTCTCTCTCTCTCTCCCTCTCCCCTCTTCTCTGAAATCAATCAAAAAAATTTTTTTTAATTAAATGGTCAGACCTCGGGAGCAGGAGGGCACGTTCGCTTTACCCAGGAGGCTGGGACGGGGGACGGGTTGGTGTTTCAGAAGCTCCGGAATCTCGCCGCACACAGGACGGAAGCCAGGGCTCAATAGCGACACAGACGGCTGCGGGGTCATTCGCTCCACAGTAAGTGATGAGGACCAGGGAGCAGACACTGGTCCTGGCCCCCAGGCCGGCCAGCCCTTCACGTGGGAGGCTCAGGGTTCTTAACTAGAAGGATATGTGGCCACATCGCTCACCAGCTCCCTCCAGCTCTGCCCTTCTCTGAGCCACGAGAAGTCCAGCTGCAGAGCCTGTAAGGATGGAGACCACGTGCTCCCGATCTAAATGCCAGGACCACCCTTCTTCTCTGCTGGACTTAAGCACCATGTTATCCTCCCAGAAATAAAAAGACCGGTTTTCTGATTTGCACAACTACCTTGAAACGCCACACCCTACCAGAGGTGGTGGTTATTTTATTGTTCCAGGTTACTTTTTTTAAAATGTATTTTTATTGATTTCAGAGAGGAAAGAAAAGGGAGATAGAAACATCAATGGTGAGAGAGAATCACTGATCGGCTGCGACCTGCACACCCCGCCCAGAAATAAAAAGACCGGTTTTCTGATTTGCACAACTACCTTGAAACGCCACACCCTACCAGAGGTGGTGGTTATTTTATTGTTCCAGGTTACTTTTTTTAAAATGTATTTTTATTGATTTCAGAGAGGAAAGAAAAGGGAGATAGAAACATCAATGGTGAGAGAGAATCACTGATTGGCTGCGACCTGCACGCCCCCCACTCGGGGTCGAGCCTGCAACCCGGGCATGTACCCTGACTGGGGATCGAACTGTGACCTCCTGGTTCATAGGTCGATGTTCAACCCCTGAGCCACACCGGCCGGGCTGTTCTAGGTCGAACTGTGACCTCCTGGTTCATAGGTCGATGTTCAAGGGGCTGTTCTAGGGGCTGTACTTTATAAAGGCACCTGTCTGATTCTGTCATCTTTTACCCATCCATCTCTACGTGTTCTCAACAAATCCAGGATGATCTATGCTAATGTCAACATTAAGAAAGCAAATAACTCACGTTTTCCTGGATAAGATGAACCTGTGGTTTGAAAGCTAAGCCACAGGGCAGATTCCAAGAGGAAATTCGTTACAAACTGTGGTCAGCATAGGCCGTTCTCCACTCTCGGGTTCTGGCTTGTTTCTTTACCCAAAATGGTCCTCTTTCCCAGGACTCACTATAAGGGGGAAAAAAAACAAAACAGCGTCATTCAAATCACACGTGCCTCGTGGGCAGCTCTTCACCAGCTGCTGTGCTCAGGGTTTGCTCTAGAGTCACCCTACCACCTGCCTATGTAACCTTGGCAGAATGTTAGAGCCCGACCCCAGGCTCACTTTTCTCATCTGTATAATGGGTCCAATGGAGACAAATTCCAGCACACGGTTCACCTGTCAACAACAATAACATCATGCAAGTACCCGAGCATCCTTTAGGACAGCACCCGGAGCTCTGTAAGGAGACCTAAGTCAGTTACAGTCCAACTTCTCATGTTGATATCGAACTGCTCTACAGAGTGTGGCTGATGCTTAACACACTTCACAGAGGGAAGAAATCCATCAATTCTCCACTCAGGGTCCGTGTCTTCAAAACATCCTCCTAGGTGAGAGGGGCCGGGAAGAAAAGAAAATGACCGAGTGAAATGAAGAAAGGGTTGGTTGTACTGATAGCAAATGAGGACCTCAAACTTTTATTCAGTTTTGTTCCAAATATATCCAAGTATGTTCGGAAAAGAAGTGGAACCATGAGGGAGCTTTCCAGAAGCAGCTAACTCTCAGGAGGCCGACGTGGTCCAGTTCCTGTTCTTCTCACCTCCCCCCGCCCCCCAGGACTCCCCTCCAGCCAAAGCCCCCACGCTGTCAGAGGAATCGCTGCCTGAGAGGAGGAGGAGTCTGAGCTGGCCTTCGCAGGATGCTGAAAATTCTATTCTCTCTTTCTTCCTTTGTGAGCTTATTTATTTGCAGGCCTAGGATGTGTTTTAGAGAGAAACATGAAAACACAATGCAGCCGAGCCGGCCTGGCTCAGTGGTTGAGCATCATCCTATGAACCAGGTCATGGTTCAATTCTCGGTCAGGGCACATGCCCAGGTTGAGGGCTCTATCCCCAGTGTGTGTGTGTGTGTG